TGCATATCTGCGAAAAACTTATATTTAAAAGCAAAAACAAAATTTATATAAAAATAATGCAGTTACTGGCATAGCCACAAGGTTAATGATAATCTAATAAATGAAATCTATCAACAAATAACATTAATATTGAAAGAGCCTAATTTAAGAATATATAACAATAGAATTAAAAACCTTGAAATATATAGATATTCTGGCTAGTAGGTTATGTAAAGTTAGAAAACTGCAAATTAAAAAAGATAGTAGGTTTTATATTGTAAGACTAAGGATTCAGAATGTTATATGGCAACTTAATAAAGTATAAGTTATTTTATAAGTTCAGTAATATGCAGAAGCTACATATTGTTTAATAATCTTTACAAAACAATAACTCTGACTTTTAAGAGGTGTGACAAATCCTAAAAATATCTAAGAAACTTTAAAATACAAAAGCAGGTAAAAAAAAATTTACTTATTGTTTTTTGCATATAAAATAATTGTATTAGTTAGAATTAATATTTGTTAAAGTATTTACTTTATATAATATGCTATAAACAAAAATTATAAAGAATTTATAAACTGTATTAACAAAAAGATATTTGAATTAATATTTATAAAGTATAATATTTATTTATATATAATATGCTATAAAAAAATAATTCTATATAGAATTAATATTTGTTATAATATTTACTTATAGAGATGTAATAACCTAGTAAAGTGAATAGGTTGTCAACCTTCAAGTGGCAGATCTAAGGTTGAATTTTTATAAACAATAAAATTTAAAAATTACACTTATGTTACAGTAACTGGTTTTTGTTAATTAGTTAAGTTTTAGGTATCTGTAATCTTAGATATACCAAGTTAGATTCTATCTGATATTAGGAGCTTGGGGCATCTATGTGAAGTATAATATTATATATATTGTTATGGATAGATTCAATCCTAGGACCTTGAGAAAATGTTGCATAATGACCTACAATCTGCATCATAAAAACTGTTATATCATAATACTTGCAACCCAAGACAAATCAAGCTCTTCATTAAGTGACAGCTGATCCATTAAAGAAAAAGCTACCACCTAATTTGGAATTTAACTGTCAAGATAATATTACCTTGACAGGTAAAGTCTATGGCTGTGTCAATGTGTTGTCATATGTTGGGTTGTATGCTGTTGTGGAATGATAGAAAAAATGCTAAAGTAATGATAAATGGGTTAAAGGAAAAAGGGAAAAATATTAGTAAAAAAAGGAAAAATAGTCTATGACAATAAGAAAAAAAATGTCAAAGTCATATTCCAAGTTCCCTTTTTTTCCTCAAAAATGTTCTATAAAAATAGTGCCTCCTCACCCTATAGTAAGTAAAATTCTGTCTTTTTAATATAGAACACACAGAACTGTTTTGTAATAAACAACTGAATCACCTTTTAACTTGTAATCTACCTATAAATAAATAAATAAAGTTTATAATTAATAAAATGCTAATTGTTAAAATCAAGTAAACAAATAAATAAAACCAATATGCTTCTTTAAACTCCTTTGATAATGTTTTCAAGGCTGCTCTAGATCAGTGCCAAATTGAATTCATCTCACCTGTCTTAAGCAATGTTATATGATATTGATAAATTCAAAGCAACAATCTGTCACATTCCTTCTTGTCTCTATAGTGCTGTTTCTGACCTTCTACCTCATATTAATATATAGAAGAATGTAAAAAACTAATGTTGCATAAGACTTTAGTGCAAACTTATAATAAGACCATTAGGCATAGATGGCTAAGAAACTTAGAAGACAGAAACCCACTTGGAAATTCTAAGTTAAAAGATAGCACAAACTTTTGATGATAATATTGAGTTGATAGAAGAACTATGAAACACCTTTTATAGGAATTGTCAGATAAACCTAATGACAGGTATGTAAGAGAAGCATATACATTATCTAGACTACCAAAATTACTAAAGAAAAAGAATATATAAGTATACTATACTGAGCCATCTGGATTAAAAGTTTGAAAAGTCTGTTGGTATTAATTTGTGACTAGTAAGAGATAATAAAGAAAATATTAGAAAGGCAAAGAGTAAACTTTATAAAAGTAATAGTAGTTTAATAAATAACTCTGACTCAAGTATTAGTTTTAAGTATAGCATTAAACCAAGTTTGCAATAAAAAGAAATATAGCTTACTCTAGTAGATTTAACTTAAAAATAAAAATAGTTTAAAAATTATAGTTCTAAAAGTCAATAGTAAAAGAATCTGGGTCTGTGATCTGATAAAGTTAATATTAAAGCCAGATCAGAGGGTTTAAATAGAATACTAATTAGAAATGTTAGATATAGCAACTAGTAAGAAACCTTTAGTTGGACTTTTTAAATAGGTAATATAGAAAAGTTATATATATACTTGTCTGATAATTCAATTTAGATACATCTATATGTATATATACTCAATATAAGTATTAATAAAAAGTCAGAACTAAAAGAGATTATCTAAATACTGAAAAAAATTAATATTTACTTGTACATAATATGCTATAGCAAAAAAAAGCTTACTAACTATATTGACAAACAAAATATTTAGATTAATTAAAACTATATATAGTATAATATAAATATAAAGTATTAATATTTTTATCTTTTACTTTTACTAATGCCACTTCTCACAAGTTTCTAATCCTATCTGACCTTCTACTAACCCTAATCAGATAAATATATTACACAAATAATAGTTACATAACCAGAATTTTTATAAACTATAAGATTACACAACTTATATTTGTATAATATATCATTTAGGATTCAAAGATTAGCTAGATTATGTGAAAGTAACAATAGCAAAAGTGAAGCTAAAAATAGTTATTCTCTAAATATATAATATTGAATATAATATAAAATAAACAAAAATTATTTTTTTTTAGTATTAAGGTAAGGCATTGCTTATATCTTTATTAATAATTTAAAATAGTTATATGTATATATGCTATAATCAAAGCTAACACTTGCAGTTAGGGCTAACTATTAAACTGCTAACTATACAGCTACTACTATTTGTACAAAAAAATAAATTAAAAATTACATGCAAGAATAAAAGCTCAGACTAATTTATCTGCAACCTAAATTTACTAAAATGGTCAATCTTATCTAGATTTGAATGTTTAGTATATAATTTGATAATATGCTATATTTGATCTATAAAATAGACCAAATGTTAATTTTGCAAATTGCTTGGCCAATAGGAGAGCATATGTTAGAATGAGTATGTAGTTGATCTAAAAGTTTGCAGAGGCATAAGTAAGTATAGTTTCTATGAAAATGTGTATGTCTAGTTGCTGAGTTAGATGATATTGAAGGTTTGTTAATTGGTTAAGAATGAGGTCTATTTTGTTGTTTTTTTCAGTTAAAAAAATGAATGCAATATGTTTTTTATAGTTGTTCAAATGATTGTTCATTAATGTTAAAAAGAATATCAATAATAACTTGAAAGACAGTTTTATATGATATGTCAGAGTTTTGAACTGTTGATATAAGTAACTTTGAAATAAGTTCTTTAAGAGTAAGGCTAGGATAAAATGTGTTAGGTAAGATGTATAGAGAATTGAAAGCTGGGTGATAAAGGATTTTATGAATTAAATCATTTTTTTGGTAAGTTCAAGATCAGGTAATTTGCTAAAAATAATTTGATTAGTAGATGTTTGGATAGTTTGATTGAGCAAAAGTGCATTAGCACAAGTATGTTAGTGGAAATAAGAGTTAGCTAAGTTATAGTGAAAGCAATTAGTATCTGAATATTGGTTTGGATAAAAGTATAAAATAGTTGATATATTGGTAATTCATTAAGAAGCATTTTGATTTTAAAAGATTTTAGTTGATTAAGTCTAAAATTAGTAATGTTGTATAAAGATTTTTGATTGCGATTAAAATAAAGTCAAGTGAATCTCTAGTCAATATTCTAATTGAAGTATAACCACTCACTATTACATTTTTGTGATGCCCATATAGCTAATATGTAGGCTTTGCATATTTGCTTAATAAAATATTTTGTAGGAAGTTCTATATAATGTTACTTCTATTAAAGAATATGATAAGGATTATAAAGATTTATATAATTAAATGAAAAAAGTGGTGATAATGAATGTTATTTGGCAAGAGAGTCTCTTGCTTATTAAGATTATTATCTGAATAAGTCTACACTTTGTGAAAGATAATTTGTAGTTTGTGTGATTTAATAATATTAAAAAGAGTATGCCAAATAGAATATGAGTTGAATTTGAATAACTTATTGGGATGATTTAAGTGAAGTTGGAGGTTATTAAATTTGGAAATTACTGATTGAGAATCAGTAAAAATATTGACTACTGAATTGTATAACACTGTTGAAATTGCAATAATAATTGAGAAGAGCTCAGCTTTATATGATAAAAGCCAGAATTGTATTTCAGCAGAAAAGGAGTTAATAGTTTAATTATTATTATCAACTTGGATCTAACTAATACCTATTGTGCATTGATCAGTACCAATGTTGATTACTGAGTCATCAGTATAAAAAGATAGTTGTTGATAAGAGTAGTTAAGTTAAAAGATAGATATAAGTTTGTTAGTAGTTTTATTTGGAATAAAGATTTCAGAGGCATTTGAATTAGTAATAGGAATTATAGACAGAAAAGAAATATAGGTTGGTTGCTTAACAGCTGTAGAGCAAATAAGATCCAAATAGTTTATATTGAGGTTGAGTTGATGTTTGGAATTGGTTCTGCCAAAAAATTGTGTTAAAATAACTGCAGAAACTTCAACAGTACAAGTTTGGTTAATTTTGTGAAAATTAAAGTGGCATTCTGTATATCATTTGTATTTAGCAAGAGGTAGAGAATAAAATTTTAAGTAATTTAAATCTATATTGGAAGTTCAGTAAATAATAGAGTAATAGTTAGATGAAAAAAAGTATTGTAATAAAATTTACTAAAAACTAGCAAGCTGTAGTAATTTTAAATGCATTTCATGTGGTAATAGCAATGTAGATCACGTGCTAATGGCCGATTTTATTGGTTAGTGCCCAACATTTAGAGCATGCATGATTACATATTTTTATTTTTTTTTTTACATATATAAAGCAATACAGATCCTCTCATCGAAAGTTAGGCCGTTTTTTTCTGGTTAGCTGTCCGCACTACAAAAAAACCCTTCGTGTGAAGGCATGAATGAAGAATCCACCCCCCAGAATAATAATAATAATAATAATAATAATAATAATAATAATAATAATAATAATAATAATAATAATAATGTTCCTAATGAGCTAGACGATGTACAAGGAACTACCAATAATGCAAATACCTATACTGAGTATGATGAAGGTCGTGAAACTGATGACCACACATATCCCTGCAATAATACTAGCGCTAATTTTATTGAAAAGTCGTTCGCTAAAGACCTCTACAATTATTGGATACCTTCTGGTATCATGGCAGAATTTACCACAAGCATTTACAAAGGAAACACCTTATTACCAGAGGAACGTCAGACTTTATTACAATCTTATCCATGAAATAAAAATATCAAATTTAACCTACTTCCGATGGACAAACAAATCATTAACCACATGTCTAAACATGCACGAGACACTGATAAGACTTTTTCAAAGCTTGCATACAGGTTTTCTTCATCTCTATGCCCTCTGGATTTGGTTATTAAACACCTTTATGAGGTTAAACCTCAAAATGAGGATTAATCTGATTTATCATGGAAGTATTTGGAGGAGGCATTACTCTCTACAAGGCTACTTACACTGGACACCTTGTCTTCACTCAATGAAATACGAAGAGATAAAGCACTTAAGTCATTTATTTCTAACCACCAGCCCAGCTCTGAGAATGAAACAGTTTTCGGAACAGAATTGCAAAACATTATCGAAAAAGAGAATAGAGAAGCAAAGTTTTTCAATAATGCATTATATCAATGAAGGCGGCAAGAAAAATTGGAACGTAAGACTTTACCCAGCTTTCAAAACAACTGTAGCACAAAATTTAGTAGATATCAGCCACCACGATACAGCAGAAAATTTTCAGGATTCAGGCATGGAAACATTTACAGGGGCGGTCTTCAGACAGATCGCCCAAACCAACAATAAACATAAAGGTAGCTAGAAGAGATTTGAGGAAAGCCTATCCCGTATAGCAAAGATTTTTCCTACAACACTGGGCTATGTTAATTATCAAAGATGGTTATTATCCCATCTGTTTACATGCACTCCCACTAAAAATCTACACTCCTTCTGGCAACCAATAAAGTCCCAATATACAACAAGAAGTTTCAAGGTTGTTAGACCAGAAAGTGATATGCGAATTCCTTATCAACAAACCTTGTTTCATGTCGAATATTTTTTTAGTCCTGAAAAAAGCTGGTGCTCACAGATTAGTAATAGATTTACGAGAACTAAACAACTATATTCACTATATGCATTTCAAAATAGAAGGCTTGGACCTCGTAAAAGCATTAATACAGCCCAAAGACTTTATGATATCGATAGATATCAAAGAGGCCTTTCACCATGTACCATTACATCAAGAAGCCCAAAAATATTTCGTGTTCAAATGCAACGGAAAGTTTTATTGTTACACATGTCTTCCCTTTGGGCTGTCAACCAGCCCACGAACATTTACAAAGGTCCTTCGACCTGTAGTAAAGTTAGCAAGAGAAATGAACATCAGACTAATCACTTACCTGGATGACATACTAGTCCTAGCGAGGTCATACAGTCAATCCATAAGAGACAAAGAACGATTACTACATCTTCTTTACAAAATGGGTTTTACAGTCAATATAAAAAAGTCGCAACTGGAACCAGTCCAATCAATAGAATTTTTAGGCTTCACTATAGACTCAATCAATATGATGCTACAAATTCCCAATTACAAACTAAAGGATTTGATACACGAATGTTCAACAACTTACAAACAAAAAAGAATTCATATAAGAAAGCTTGCCTCCCTAATCGGGAAACTCATAGCTGTTACCAATGCATTTCTTCCTGCAAGACTACTATCTTGGGCATTATTACGCGACAAAAACAAGCAATTAAAACTTCAAGGTTGGAATTCATTCCTCCATCTTTCATCAGAGAGCCAACAACATCTTTTACAATGTATAAAGCAGTTATCTTATCACAAAGGAAGAAAGATTCGACTAGACATCCCACTTTCAACTATACAAACCGACGCATCACCTTGGGGTTGGGGGGCAGTTATGAACGACCAGGTTATCTCAGGACATTGTTCACTTCAAGAAAGGAAAGACCATATAAACTTACTAGAAATAAGAGCGATTCTAAAGGCACTAAAATATTGGAATAGATTACGCAATTAAACAGTAGTAATAAAGACAGACTCGATGACTACTGTAGCATATATAAACCATCAGGGAGATATGACCTCACCCTTAGTGAGTCATATAGCAGAACAAATATGGACATTATGTCTGTCCCGAAACATTATAATTCAGGCTCAACATCTGCCAGGGAGAAGGAACAAGTTAGCAGATGCAGCATCACAAATAGTGAATCTACAGTCAGAATGGACTCTGTCAAGGCCAATATTCAATTTAATACAGCAGATTTGGGGCACAGGAATCTCGACCTATTTGCAACCAGCCAAAATGCATGAACGACGAACTTTTTCAGTTGGAGATACGATCCCAAGGCTCTTGTGATCGATGCATTTACCCAATCTTAGAAGAAATAGAAACCATATGCGAACCCCCCATGGATCCTATTACCCAAAGTATTAGCAAAGATCATCTAAGAGAAGGTCACGATAGTAATAATTTTTCCACTATGGCAATCAGCCCCATGGTTTCCAAAATTGATGGATCAGCTGATAGATATACCAATCATCCTACCCCGCAAAGCAGTAATTCACAATACAGTTACACCACTCAGGAATTACAAATAAAAGATCTGTGCAGCTCTTGTATCCAGGAGCAGCTCAAAGAAAAAGGGTTTTCAGACTGAGCTGCAGAGCTGTACATCGCATCGTATGATCCAAAAGCTTCAAAAATGGTGTCAGCATGTATGCGAAAATGGTTCAATTGGTGTGCAACAGAAAATCACAATCTCATTAGGTGCCTTCTTCAGACAATTGTCGAATTTTTAGATCATCTTTATGGTCAAAATATGCAATTTAATACTATTGCGAGTTATAGATCAGCTATTAGTAAGATCCATGTACATGTAGATGGGAAATCAATTGGTTCACACCCAATTATTGTTAAAGTAATGAAAGGATTATTTAATCTAAATCCACCTAAACAAAGCTCTGTAGAAGTAGTTGATGTATTGCCCATGATGGATTATATTCAATCATTAGGCTCTAACACAGAAATGTCTATACTAAACTTAACACAAAAAACAGCTTTATTATTAGCCTTAACTTCAGGTAGCCACCCATCAGATCTACATCGTATTGATCTTTCTACTATTCTGCGAACACCGAATGGCATTGTAGTTTATATTAGAAATCCCAAAGAATCAAAGATCTCAAGATCTCATGGGGGCAAAAAGGAACAATTCAAAAAGCTGTTTATTGGGTCTTATCCAGATGATATAAATTTTTGTGCACTATTAGCGTTCAACACTTATATGACTCGAACAGCATAGTGGCACAATTCACCTGAAACTCAAAAAGCTTTATTTCTTACAACGACTGCACTACACAAGCCTGCCTCCATAGATTCTATCGCACGATGGATAAAAACATGCCTTACAGTATCTTCAGAAAGTCTAACAGCAAAGGATACAAGAGTAATATCAGCCTTCTTAGCACAAAATAGTGAAGCCGACTTGACTACGATTATGGCTTTAGGAAATTGGTCAAGTAATATGGTGTATCAAAAATTTTATCAACGAGGGATTTCTCTGTTACTTCAAAGAAACAATATAGTACAGAAAATTATTGAAGAAGCCTTGTCTACTCCACAATAGCACGTGATCTACATTTCTATTACAACATAAAATGCATTTTAACAAATGTATGAGCATTAGCGAAATACATTTGGAAATGTATGAATAGAGTAATAGCATTGTAGATCACAAATTCCCACCACTCCACACCCTACTCTAGAATTAGTAATTTAAATAATGGCCTAACTCTCGATGAGAGGATCTGTATTGCTTTATATATGTAAAAAAAAAATAAAAATATGTAATTATGCATGCTCTAAATGTTGGGCACTAACCAATAAAATCGGCCATTAGCACGTGATCTACAATGCTATTACTCTATTCATACATTTCCAAATGTATTTCGCTAATGCTCATACATTTGTTAAAATGCACGAATGCTAAGTAGAAGATCTTTTATTTAAAGAAAAATAAAATAAATAAAAATAAGAAATAAATAAGAAATAAATAAGAAATAAATAAGAAATAAATATTTAAAGTAAAATTTAAATTTAATAGCCTTATAGATACTATAAAGTATTATAATAGAACTAGCTTTTAAACTATATTTTACTGTTTAGTCTGTATAGATTAGACATAACAAAATGTTTATTCTATACAAAAATTATTAAACTTTAAAACTTAGAAATATTCATAAAGTATAACCAAAAGAAGAAAAGTCTTAATAATTAGACTGTTTACAACTATATATAGCCTTTAAATTCCAATAATATAAAGCTAATATTTGCCAAATAACTAATTAAGAAAACTAGTCTTTTGCTTTATATTATTACAAGAAAAAGAAAAAAAATAAACTAAATAAAATAAATTATAAAGAATAATAAGATAAAGAATACACAACTCTCCTTGACGATTATTTGTACTGAATTTCATACCAACAAAAACAGAAAACTTATTGAAGAAAGTAGAAGAGGCTACTATATAAATAACAGTTTTTATAAAGATCAAAGTGGTTCTTTTACACTGGACTCCTTTATATATTTAGCAAGCAAACTAAAAGCATGTATATACAAGATAACTAGCAGAAGGTGCTCTTGTATAACAAATTTTAGTAGAAGTCTCAGCTTCTGTTAATGAAGTTAAAATAGTAGGCCTTATAGAAGAACAATAAGCAAGTTTTCAATACACTCACTAGAAATTCAAGGATATTTGCTAACCAAACACCACTACCATATTTCTCGCTTAGTTTTTGACAGAAGTTTTTACAAGAAGTGGGAATTTAGTATACTCCTTATGAAAAATCTACAAAAATCATCCATTTTGGGAATAGGAGAATTATCCTTTCTGGAATTAGAAGTAGCTCTAAGTAGAGTGAAAAGGCTGGCTATAGAACTGGTAGGAAAGAAATTAAATACTGACATCTCTATCATTGAATTACATTTACATATAGTATAGACCTATTTCTAGAATAGAGACTAGAAGTAGCAGTACTATATAATTTTTATAATTTGCTCTGGCTGGGGCTTCAGCCCTTTTTTTGTTTTTTGTTTTTCTTACTATTACGTGTTTGTTTTGCTGTTTTGTTTTGATTTGAGATTTGTTTGTTTACTTTTGGTTTTTTTAGTTGTGTTCTTATTTGTATTCAATTTTATAATACTCCTCTTTTTTCAGCTCTTTGAAAAGAAGAAAGAATTTAAAGAAAGGATTGAAGATAGTTAATGCTTGTCTCGGAGAGAGAAATCCTTTCTGGTATGGCTTTAAGTAGCCAGATAAGCAGTCTATCTCTAACTGGAGTAGTGCAGCAAGTCACACTTAGATACTAATAAGGTAGTCAGGTGATGCTAGACTTAGTTATTAGGAAAATTTTATGTAGCTATTGTATATAGTTGCAAAAATTTTAATAAAGTACTAGCATGGCTGTTTAAGAGAAAAAAAAATAAAAATAAAAATAAAAAATCGATTAGAAGTTTTGCATCACCTTCTGATAATAATTTAATATCAAGTAAAAATGAAGAAAAAGTGGTTAGCAAAATAAGCATTAATTATTTAATTCATAATTAGAATATCTTGTATTAATTTGATTACAGTTAGCAGATAAAAGAAAAATGCAAACTTTTCTACAAACTTCTAAAAGAGTAATTATAATATTAATAACATATAATTATTTTTAATTTATATTTTTATAAAACTTTATTATTATTTTATTATTTAGATTTCTAAAAGAGTTAAATCTATTCAATCTTCTTTAAAAACCCTAATCACTACTATAACTTCAACTGAAACTAAAACAATTACTGAGTTTCAAACTAGAACAGAGCCTCAGGCTAGGACTAAGCCTTAGGCTAGAACTTTGTTACAGTTAAGCACAAAGCTACAGGCTAGAACAAAACCTCAAATAATATATATAAAGGTTATATTAGCTTAATATAAAATTTTTATAAATTTTATCTATTTAAAATTAAGTAATATTAAGGGTGTGGTGACTTAGTAAAGTGGATAAGTTGTCATACCCCCAAGTGGTAGGTTGTGAGTTCAAAACTCACTGATAGCAAAATTTGGATAATCACCTATGTAATATATAGACAATATTATGGTGATGGCATTCTGTCGATCAGTTGGGATAGGATACCTGTAACTATGGTCACACCAGCATAACTGGCAGGTCTGGAGCATCTGTGTAACCTGTTACATGGAGGAATGCAAACCGGTATCGGGCGGTGCAAACCTAAAATAAGTCCTCGGGCTGTGTAAATCCGTAAAACTGAAAAGCTGGAGCCCACTTGGAAATTCTGAGCAGAGAGGTAACACAGATCTTCAACGGTACTACTGTAAAGGCTAGACTTAGGAAATGGATACCAATGTGAAGAATTTGGGTGGGCAAGAACCTCGGATGAGGGGTACCACCAACCAGGCCGCTGGATTTCAGACTGGAGGAAAAGGATATTGGGCCAGCCTCAATATACCAAGGACAGGTCACAGTTCTTTTGGGCTATCTGGATTGGGAGTCTTGGTTCAAAGCAGGAGTATACTAAAAGTACTAGGGATATGCTATGAAGTCAGTACTGGGGTCTGGGTGAACTCTGCAAGGGTAGCCTGTGTTAGTGTTTTAAAAGTAGATAGATAGTTAACAACAGGGGGCCTCCTGTGTCTTACTGGCAAGTGACGTATTCTGAAAATGTATAATGGCCTAGAACCAGTACAAAAAGGGTAGGTACCAAACTGCTCAGATGGTATACTGGTTAGGTATATATGGGGGGTTAGTTAGGGATTCCAATATGACAGGGTAGATGATCAGAGAGTTTAAAATAAATAACCTCCTAGTAGGTTATAGGTACAGCATCTAGTGTAGAACCTTAGGGCAAACTACTTAAATAGGCAACCAAAAGTTGCACATGTGACTAGCTATACTCTCATCTCTGTAAAAATAGTTGTAATAGCTAACCCAATATAAAGTTAATAAAGTATCACTACAAGTATAGCCTTTAACAACAAAAAAAAAAAAAATAAAAATAAAAATAATTCTGATCAAATTTGCAGATTATTTGGTCAGATTTAGAACAAAACAACTTTAAATATGATTAAATAATTTGCAATTTTGATCAGAATTATAAGTGATAGATTCTATTAATTAGATGATGCAGATCTGTTTTTCTTTTAGACTGATCTGCACCAAATTTTTAATTTATAATTTAAATATAGATTATAAAGCTAGTTAAAATTATAAAAATTGCACTGCACAGCCTCAAAAAATATCTGTACAGACTGCACAATGTTACATTTTTAGTTAAAACTCTTTAACTTTTATAAAAACTCAACCTTTATAAAAAACACTTGGAAAATAATAAAAAAGTGCACTTATAAAAATAAAATATATATTTGAGCTAAGATTTAAGAGTTCATTTAGAGAGATTATATAATTAGAGGCTCATTGCAATAAATATTTAGCCATAATTAAATTTTAATCTAATATATATACTGTTAGAATATGCTACAAATTTTATCTAAAAAATAATAAATTTCATTTAACTGTATTTATTTATTTTAGTTATTCTAAGTTTAATACTTTAAAGGTATGTATTTTTCAAATATACACTTAAGAATTGAACTATTTATCACTTTACTAATCTACTTACTGTTATCAAATGCTTAATTCTCTTATTTTTACATTTATATTTAATTGCAAATCACTATATAGTATAGACTAAAAGACTCTTTTTATAATACTTCTTATAATTTTTGGAAGCCTAGAATATAAAGTATTTCAGATACTAAGAACAGATTAATTGCATTTATAAATATAAAATACCTAGGTACTTAACAAATCAATTATGAAATTTTTTAACTAAAATATGATAAGATTAAATAATTTATTTTAAATACATCTATTGGCAAATGTTTATTATATTTATTAGTTATATGAAATAAAATAACAACAAAGTAAATAATTTATTTTAAAAAAACTACATATATGCAAGAATGCTACATCTATACTATACTAATACTAATCTATCTGAATTGCATATAAAGTTAAACTAAATAACATAGTTAGTATTCGATCTACTGCATATATTATCTAATTTAAAGTTGTAAATAAAACTTATAAAAGTTAAGCAATCAAAAAGCTTAGAACAAAATCAGTTTTATCTGTAACTTAATTTGAAAATCCACCTTTTGTTTCTGGTTTTGCATAACAACATTATGCAGTTATTTATATATAAATTATATGATATATATGATATATAGCATAGTGAACACTTATTTTGATTAGCTAATAGAAAATAAATTCAAAACAAAAAATTATAAAAATTATTAGACAAAAAGCTATAAATTTGGATTACTGACAATTTTTAATATATTTGGTTAAATTTTTTAAAAAAATTTAAACTTAATAATTTTTTTTTAAATACATTATAGATAATCTTTATTAACTAATTTTTACTAACTAATATATAGTTTAATATAAGATAAAGAATGAATAAAAAAAAGGTGTGGTGACCTAGTGAAGTGGTCAGGTTATCAACTTTCCAAATGGTAGGTTGGGTGTTCAAATCCCATCGATGACGAAAATTTGAATAATCACC